TACGGCAATGGACGTAGTTTACGCCCTCAAGCGTCAAGGCCGTACCCTTTACGGTTTCGGTGGTTAAATGATTTTTTTCCCACTTTAATTCTTCTGTTTAAACTTAAAACGGCCCTTCTCAGGGCCATCAAATTGTTGTAATTTATAAATAAATATACTTTCATATCTTCGTTGACTGTGTAATATGTATAAAGTGTGAAAATGTTCACATCCAAGTCTCCATATAGTATTGTTGTGTATTTTGTATAATACCCCCCCTCTTCGGGTCAAACAATTAAAAAATTAATTTTTTAAATTATTTAAATGAAACCATCCGATTTTTTCAAATATGAAATAATAAAATATTTTATTCGAAAATTAAGACTGTTAAAGATAAATAAATAAAATAAAAACAATTGTTTTATTAAACACAAAAGAATCGTATATGAAAAGGTTAACAAGATTTAAAATAACTATAAATTTTGACCATCTGTAAAAATCGAATCGGAACGAACGAAAAACATTTTCAATTTGGGAAATAATAATTAAGCAAGCAAATTAGAAAAGAAAATTTTCTGTACATTCATAAATGTCATTTATATCAGTATTTTTACTCTAAAATATCACAGCGATCTCATTTTATTAAAGTATCTGTATCTGATTACTGGTATAAGGGGTATCATCGATATTTGAGATCAGTCTGTGATCGCTATTTTAAAATCACTGTTATTACTTCATGCCATCACTACAAAACATAGTTATTAAAAAGTGTACGTACATCGTTTAATGTTAATATATTCGTGCCTTAATTCTAAATTAACATAGCACCAATATTTTTTCCACCAGGTTTTATCTAATTGTTAAACACAGAATTTAACAAATATAAAATTATTCTGTACATTCAGCTCAAAAACAATATTTGTACAATAGAGTAGTGCTGGGAATAATCGAGAGAAACATTTGAATTAATGGAGTAATTCGATTATTAGAAAAATTAGTAGTTACTATTTTTATACTCACTAGTTTAGTAGTTGGTAGTTACTCATATCAGTATCGGTAGATAATCATTGTTATTTCTTTTTACTATTCTACTAATGACTAATATTACCAATATTAACATTATCTGATTGCCGCGGATGGCGTATCAGAACATCCAAAATAACGGTTTTAGCTATAGCTGCCTGCACGACAAACACGTTCTTATACTTATACTTATATAAGTATATACAATATTTTATGAATCGAAAAAAAATATAAAAATAACCCAAATAATCATAAAAGAAAAAAATGGTTGCTAATTGCTATTGTTTCTATTCTAATTTTGATCAGACACATATTATAAATATGATATTTAAGTATAATATAAATAATTAAATAGGTACATATTATTTGTATTGTTTTTCATTTATAAAAATCGTCCGCGTATAAAAAACAGCATCGTAATGATTATTTTTGTACACATTACAACAAAAAGAAAATGTCGAAAACCAACGAACACTCGTACATTTTCCCTATTTACATTTGGAATGTTTTTCCAATTAAATGGAAATTAAAAGAATAACCTCTTGAAAGTAGAATTAAAGAGTGATTCCTATTTACTCGGACTAGGTAAATATTATTATAATCCACCGGATTATAATAATATATCGATTACTCCTATCACTACCAAGACAATTTTATATAAATGTTTCATAGCTCTTCTAATAATGGGCGTAAGATGGCCGGAACTACGAGTTACCGGCTACGTATTATACGATAATATTCAAAGACACAATTCACTGGATAGTGATTATTGCAGCATTAAATTATCAATATAATAGGGAGGGATCTGAATACAGAATATAACAAGTGTTGGCCAAAACACGGACACTTGAATGAATATATAAATTTGGTGGCCCTGAAAAGGGCCGTTTTAGCGGGATAGCATGGTAGAAATTTGATCAAGCGGTTTTCACTTTATCCGTCTTCTTGGGTAAAAGAACGGCCTGGATGTTGGGCAACACACCACCTTGGGCGATGGTTACACCGTTCAACAATTTGTTCAGCTCTTCGTCGTTTCTGATAGCTAATTGTAAATGTCTGGGAATGATACGACTTTTCTTGTTGTCACGGGCAGCGTTACCGGCCAATTCCAAAACTTCGGCGGCTAAGTACTCCATGACGGCAGCCAGGTAAACCGGCGCACCGGCACCAACACGTTCCGCGTAGTTTCCCTTTTTCAACAGACGGTGAATACGTCCGACGGGGAATTGGAGTCCAGCGCGAGACGATCTGGTTTTGGACTTGCCGCCCTTGGCTTTACCTGCTTTACCACGTCCACTCATGATGATTGATAATCCGCAGTGTTGTCGAAATGAAATCTCGAGTAACAATAATGGTAATGATAAGCTCAATTTGGATTTATATATACTTAAAATGTAATACTACGACTATTACAATTGGTCTAAAGAATTATACTGAAATAATAAGCTAAAACAACATTATATATTCAAAAGTGTTTTATAGAATATGTTGTTTTTGTTCGACAAAATTAATATTTTAAAATATCCTTAGCAAAGTAAATTAACGTGTTTTCAGTATAAATAACGGTGGAAAATGGTGGTTTTCATCATTGACTCCTCTCGTCCCAATTATCGCAAACATCACCGGTATTCGTATTTGTTAATTCACAATGGCTCCACCAGCTAAATCGGCAGGCAAAGCGATGAAGAAATCCGGCAAGGCTCAGAAGAACATCACCAAGTCCGACAAGAAACGCAAGCCCAAGAGGAAAGAATCTTACGGTATTTACATCTACAAGGTCTTAAAGCAAGTGCATCCCGACACCGGAGTGTCGTCTAAGGCCATGAGCATCATGAACAGTTTCGTCAACGACATTTTCGAGCGCATTGCGTCCGAATCTAGCCGTCTATCTCACTACAACAAGCGTTCTACGATAACCAGTCGAGAAATTCAAACCGCCGTCCGTTTGTTGTTGCCCGGAGAATTGGCCAAGCACGCCGTCAGCGAAGGCACCAAAGCCGTGACCAAGTATACCAGTTCCAAATAAATCCATTGTCAAAATATTTGAAATCCATTAATAAAACGGCCCTTTTCAGGGCCACAAAAATAAATACAAACACATACTAATTTATTAACTGTTGTTTATTCTTTAGTCTTTTCAACACAAATAAATAATTATAATATTATTTATCAATTATACAGGAAAAATGTCCGCGTTCAGTAAATCCGGCTAATATACTTTTAGAGACATTACAATACAAATATGTGTGTATGGTGTAAAACTAATAGGTTACTTGTCCATAGCATATTATTTCTATTTACATTACTATTAATACCTATAAATATATTCACAAATTATCGTTTGATACTATTGAATACCACGAAGTGCACAGGAGAATACCAATATAAATTTCATAAAGGTAAATCCAGGGTGTCTAATTTGAAGAGACCACGAAATATCAAAACAGAGTTATCAGGGTTTATGTTAAAATTTGTTGCATTAGGATAATGATGATCAAGATGAGATTTACTTCGAAATTATTTTTATTTGCACTGTCTCTGGATGGGTTAAAAATTGCAAATTAATTGTGATATTTGAATAGTGTTAATAAAAATTATAATAGTTTTATTTTATAATGTATCGGTGACTCCTTGACGGGCCAGTCTTTGTCTCAATGCATTAGCTCGGCGACGTTCATTGCGTTACTCTTGACTTTCATTAGTACGTGTGATTGCAGCCTGGTTTCTTAAATTTCCATTGTCTGTCAGTTGATCTTCTGCCGATCTATTTAACCGACGGTTCTGGACTAATTTTGAATTCCGAATCCATCGTCCAATATTTCCTCCTCGTCCACGAAGACGTGGCATTGTTTTATGTACGTAACTTTTTAGAAAAAATTATGTTATTTCAAAATAAATAATAATGAAATTATTATATTATTTGTCTTTTATTTCGTACTTTGTTTAATATCCTAATCGCTTGAAATATCATGCTCGACAACGTCTGTCGGGTCCGCTAGTGTGATTATAATACACTTGATATTCACTGAAATATCAAAAGACAACAAAATGAAAATGTCAAAATAACGAAACACACTTAATATAATACACTCAAATTAAAATGTAGAAAAATAAACGAAATCCTATGCATGTAACTTAATTTAATGCAAATATTTACGCAAATCCGACTTGAATGAATACAGACACTAAATGAACGAAATTAATGAACGTCATTCATTCAAATGACAGACGTTTAGTTGCATTATAGATAAATATTCCGACGGAACATGCAGTATAGATAAATAACCTAGATACCGACTGCAACGCCATCTGTCGGGCTGATTTGTGAATCTAAATTATCCAAGGCGTCACCCAAACGCAAACAAAAAAATTCATTCAAATCGGTCCAGCCGTTTAAGGAGTTCGAGGAGTTCAGTGACATACACACGTACAGTAGAATTATTTATACATAATGATTTTATAGAATTATTTAGATCATTTGAACGAATGATTTATATCGCACAGGATTATTTTGAATAATTTTGATTGTATTTTACTCTTAAGATAAAAAATGAAAATATCTGAAGATATTAAAGGTAAATTCAAACAATTAGTAAAAACGTATCAAGATATAATTGATGAATGTAACGATTCAAATTTAAATGGTCATATATTAAACGAAATATTAGATTTGTGATACACTAAATATTCAAATTTAACATCTTCCGATCTCAAGAACAAAAATGCTTTTGAAATATAATTCTAAACTAATCCAGATGTTTATCCAGTAATATCTAAACTTCTTCGAATATCCATAACACTTCCAGCGTCTTCTGCCACGGGAGAACGATCGTTTTTAACACTCCATCATTTAAAACCATATTTGAGAAATTCTTCGGGACAAATACGTTTAAATGGTTTAGCATTTGTAAACTATATTAATCGCGAAATCAACGTGGATATCAATGATCTTATAGATGAACTTGCTAAAACATCAAAACAAAAATTGAAGACACATTTATAATTTTTAAATATTTCAACTTTTATATAATTAGCGCTGTAAAATAGTAATAACATGTTTAATTTATGATTATAATACACACAAAATTCAAAACAATTTTGTTTGTTACATTTTTTTCAACCCTTCCCCCAAAAAAAAAAAATTCTGGATACGCCACTGAGTGATGGTACCTTCTTTGATGAAAATGAGATCCTACTGAGTGTTAATGGAATAAACAATATTTTATCAACTATGCCATGAAATATGACGTCCCTTGGTCCAGTCTTAATTATATCGAAAAATATCGAAAAAAAAGGCGGCAATATTATAGGAATAACTCATAAGTAAAGACCTGATTTATATTCTCTTAAAACACCTAAATTATGATGCTAATATTCTCTAAAAAACCTTTATATATTCTCATTATATTCTTGTAAAAGTTTGATAGATATACAAAAATAATTAATGAACATCAATATTGTTCTCACAATTAACAAAATATTCCAAAATATGTAAAATAAGCTAAAAATTACTTAACCCATGAAATATTCTCGAATATGCAAAAAAAACATTTTCCCGACGAATTCGGAATTGAACGAATCGTCAAAATTTCTTACTCTCATTATACTACATAATCTCAGTTATGATATGCAAAACATATAAATTCGGTCTTTACTCATAAGGTACTTTTCCAAGATTAGATTTTTATGTATTGACGTACTCTGAAAAATATTCTAGAATACTTTGTAAAATAATAAGTGCTGTGTGATATAAGAATCACCCTGTATAATATTATCCATTAGTATAATGCTGCATTGTATGTTTTTATAATATACATTGTATTTTATTTAATTTTTATTTTCTAATTAAATATATCTGATTATTACCATTGTCTAGTTGTATTGTTTTATTTATTGTACCTCTAAATCCATTGACTATCTAAGTCCATCATAATATGCCTAAATGTGCAATATTAACTTGTAAGGGACCTAAGTCTCCTGATAAAAGGATTATGTTACACAGATTTCCTCAAGAGCTAACTGTACTAAATAATTGAGTTAAATCATGTGAGAGTATAAATGTATATACTAAGTAGATAATATGTTCTTTATAATTATTTTATTATACCTCTATTTATATCATATTTGTGTGACTAACTATTCAGAAAGAATATGTTCTCGACATTTTCATAGTAATGACTATTATAAGTCACTAAACTTCTGGGATATTCACTGAAAAGTTCACAAAATCTGAAAGTTGTTGCTGTAAAATCTGTAAACGTTGTATTTTTCGTATTTATTATAATACAAATATATGTTTTTTGTTTATACTGTTTAACAAAATTATTTATTTACCTCCATGTAGCCAATATGTTTGAAAAATCCTCGAACTTCTAGCCAGAAAAAGTTTTCTAGCCTTCTAGCATAATGATTTTATATATACACAATTAATTAATATTTATTAAATTAGTGATAACAACTTATTACGATAACAGGCAATAGACCGAATGACGTAGACACCATGCACAGATTTCTGTTGCTGTCATACCATGTTAATTATATCATGATAGTACCATATATTAGAATTTCGTATTTTAAATTTTTCAATAACCGTATTTTCGCGATAACCGATATATACCTAATTCCAATACGGCTATACATCAATAAGTTATAGCAGAAGTGTCCAACCTGCAGCCCGCGAGCTAGTCCCTAACATTTCATCACCACCCACGCCGGATAATAGGCGCGAGAAAACCGTGTCAAACAACTGCTACAGCGATCGCTCAACGCCCTCCGCGCACCAAACAAGATGTGGGGAGGAGCGTCAGCGTCCATTCTCCCGCCGACAAGGCCCGGACAAGAGCTCTCTTTCACCGAAACTCCATAACCCGTTCGCAACGCATAAGAGAACTCGGACCGAAGCCGTCGGCCCCCGACCGTGCAAACAGAAAAAAAAAACCAAACGGCACCCAAGTCTCCTCGAATGAACTCCGCGACCTACGGCCGTCGCGGCATGCAAAAGCCGTTCGTAGATAACCGACACGCGACGTGTTTAAATAATATATAATTTATGATTGTAAATTTAAAAAAAAAAAAAAAAATTGTTAATACAATTTCCCCGGTATCCGAACCAGACGCGGTCACCAATTAGTTCGACTAATGGAGGATAAACCGTATCTGTAATAATTATTAAAATTATTGACATAGTTCGTATATAGTACACTACACGGTGTTAGTGGGTCTGACCAAAAAATGATAAGATTCGAGCTTCACTTAGGCATAACACGTTCGTTCTTAATCCGTGGGTTTGGCTCATCGCACACCGGTTGAAAATCACTGATTTACACGTTAAATCGTTGCATCACTCGTTTATCGGCGCGACGACAAAAACATTTAATGGCAACGAGAAAAATGTCCAACTGAATGATAATCACAGTTCACAGTATTACCGTAGTGACCGGATGGTAACAAATAGCCCGGCGGTTTTAGCGACCGACACCGATCGGCAGTTATCACAATGTAGTTTCGGTCGCTGTTTGAAAAGAGATATTAAAGATGCGGATGTGCCGTCCTGTTGTTTTCACGATTGCTTGAGGAGAATCCTAGTTACCATTGATGGTATAGAATACAACAGTGTCGTTGTCACTATGGATAATTGATTCACTGCTGATAATAAATATGACTTAATTAATAGTATATTAATAGTATGGATAAATTTTGATAGGAACACAATATCGATAGAAAAAAATGATTAAAGTTCATTATGCTTACCGCATGACGTGATAACGCAATGTAAAAAATATTATTGTGCAACTGTGTATTTATTTTTTATGATTAAAGATAACTCAATTATTATCGTGTATCATTTATCGACTATTTTTCTAATATCGAGATATTAATCAAGACATCAAAATTAATAGTTGATACAAAAAAATGTATTCCACCGTTTCCCATTATTAGTAAACATTTACAGTGGAAACCGGATGCATGAAAAGTCGGTTAGTTAAATAAAAACAATCATACAATAAAATTTAAATGCTTAAACAGTAAAAATAAGTTTAATACATTATAAATAAACGTTTTGGTGGCCCTGAAAAGGGCCTTTTTAATATAGCTCTGCACACTATAAAACAAATATATCTACTTTTTCTTGGGATTGGTGGCGGGCTTCTTGACTGCGGCGGGTTTTTTCGGCGACTTGGTTTTAGCAGCAGCAGCCGATTTTGCCGGGGTCTTCTTCTTGGGTTTAACCGCCTTAGGGGCGGCCTTGGTTGGAGTCTTTTTCGCCTTCTTGGCGGCTGGTTCGCCGGAGGCGGCCTTAGCTTTTTTGACCACAGGCTTCTTCTTTTTCGGCGTACCGGCGGAAGCAGGCTTCACTTTCTTCGCAATCGGCTTCTTGGCCACGGCGGTTTTCTTCGGTTTGGATTCGACCACTGCCAATTTGTAATGGCCCTTGGTCTGCAGAATCGCACCGCTCGACACGGACGCCGTCAAAAACTTCCTGATGAAAGGTGCCAATTTGGCTGGATCGACTTGGTAGTTGGCTGCTAAATACTTTTTGATAGCAGGCAACGAAGAACCTTTCCGCTCCTTCAACTCTTTAATCGCTGTCGTGACCATCAACGACGTCGGTGGATGTGCGGCTGCTGGTTTCTTCGCAGCGACGCCTTTGGCTGCTGCGGTGGTCTTCTTTTTGGTCGGTGACTTCTTCGCTGCCGGGGATGAAATAACCGGAGCTGCCGGAGTAGATACCACAGTGTCGGTCATATCGTTGAATCGTGCGAAATGATTTTGAAACGTAGGGAAACTTGTAATATAAAAATATGTTCGGTGATTTGAGCGGTTCCGAATATATACTGTAGGCCGTACCGACTAGTAAACACGCGCAACGCAATGCCGGCAATCTGTGGTGGTTATGCTGACGTTTTTCACGATAACTTTTCGAGAGATTAATTTAAAGATTTAGTTTTTCGTTTGATAGAAAGCCAACTAAATACCGAACAACACAAACTATTTTTTTATTGAATATTCTTCACTAAACGGACACTGTACACCATTATTTCGGCGTATTCATTTAGTTTTCGTTTGTCTTAAATAACTGAACACCAACAATTCGTTTTCAATCAAAATTAAAAAATTTCTATTTTGACATATTCTTTAGATGTTTCCGAATGCAGACACGTTTTCATATCGGTCTTTGATGGATTTCCCAATAAACGACGGCCGTCGGAAAATGGGCTTTTGGCGTCAGACGTCTTGTGTAATTATGACGTCGACGAACACACGTTTCAATAGGTAGACCGTAATATTGAATTTAATATTTAGTTGCACAGAATTAAATCTATAAAATTGATAAAATAATTGAAAATTTATTTCGACACCCATAAAATAGTATATAATGCGCATACGTGCAGTCAAATCAAAATCGAAACACTCTGTATGTCTGGTTTTGCAAACAAAGTAAAACTTTAGAATCTTACAAGTACCTATTGAAATAGGGTTTTTAAATTGGTACCTATACACCGATAGGTATCTATAATGTTTTTGTTATTTCGAAGGATAGGTATTTGAACTTAACATAATATTTGTACACCTATTCGAATTTTACTTTCCAATAAATGTATTGCCAATACCGTATACATAAAAAGAGACCAGAAGTAATTATATTTTTCTTAAAACTGAAAATTCTATTTACTTTTATTCGGATATCTAGGCCACAATAACGCGAAATCTCCATTCTCAAAATCAAAAACCCTGTCGGGAACTCTAGCGTTGGTCTCTAAAATCTAAATATCCAACCAACTTATCCGGCGACAAAATATCCACATGTAATATTTTATAAAAACGTTTTTCGAAATTTTTAGATAACTGTATACCCAGTCTACACTAATATTTAGGTCATATTATTTATGTCTTATTTTATGGTATTTTACTATAACGATTAATTATCGAATTGTATTAAAACCACTCTTAACTCAAACTGTATGTTATATTATTCGTGTACCTGTATCAACGTTTCCAAACCGGACGTGTTTATTTATAAAAACGTTTTTTTCTAAATTCTTAAGTTCGAATATTTTTACCGTTGGATGTTATGTCCGTGTAGGTGTGTATAAAATTATGTACCTATTTTGTCTTAATATGATATATACTCTAAATATTTACCAGACTCATAATATTGTGCCAAAATCGAAATCAACCAATCAGACACATCTACATTGAATCACTAAACACAATCTTCTTTCAACACATACGTATAGGCAACCCGCTTAGCATAGGAAACATCAACTTATCATATTATTCATGCGATGCGGTGCAACGGACCAATAAATAATTACTAGAAGACGAGAACAAAACGCGACGGTATTCCACCGAAGTTTTTAAGCAAGTGCAATTGGTGTGACCAAACGTGCAGATTTAGGCGGTTATTGATTTTTGAATGGGTGTCCCGTGAAATTTTTCAATATACCGAGAATGAAAAAATGTACAGAGTTTCGTTGACCGTCCCACTTTTGTACTGGTTTCTTAATAACTTCAATATAATTATATTTTCTTCATTTTATTAGCAAAAATATGAGAATATCAGGATAATAATTTATCATACAACTGTAAAACTGTTATCAATTAACATTGTCATAATTTTTTTCAATTCAAGACTTTTAAAATAACAGACAGATACCTAAATCATAATATACAAATTTTCCTCGCCTAGTATTATAAACCTAACCTAATCGTCCAATTTTCTCACATTACCTTTTTATGATCACGGGTGTATAGTAATTAACGATATATTATTACACATGCATTCAAATTGCAATAAACGATCATCGAGCAGTTAGTAAATAATAGGTAATCATAATGTTTGTTTTGTTAGTATAAATAACTGGATAAGGGTAAACACGATATCTACGATTCAGACAAAATATATTTTTTTAAAAAAAACTATAAACGATGCAATGCAAGTATACAAATGCGTACAGAATAAACGAGAATGGCAGCGTAAATTATTAGATTTAATAGGACTTGACTATGTTTAAAGTCAATGAGCAACAACAACCGATCGATCTAAAATTCACTGCAAACAAATTGTGTATTCATAAGAACGCCGTACGAAGAACGACCAGTTGATATTTACCAGTCTAAATGTCACCGCGCAAGCTAATACATCTCTCTATTATATTTAATAATAATATAGGGGATTTGGTGGCCCTGAAAAGGGCCTTTTTAATGGTAGTTCGTTAAATTATTATATCATGCGGCAAAGACAAATTATCCTCCGAAACCGTACAGGGTTCGTCCTTGTCGTTTCAAAGCGTACACGACGTCCATTGCGGTCACGGTCTTTCTCTTGGCGTGTTCGGTGTAGGTGACGGCATCACGAATTACGTTTTCTAAAAACACCTTCAACACGCCGCGGGTCTCCTCGTAGATCAGACCAGAGATACGTTTCACTCCACCACGACGGGCTAAACGACGAATGGCCGGTTTCGTGATTCCTTGGATGTTGTCCCGGAGCACTTTACGATGACGCTTCGCTCCTCCTTTTCCGAGACCCTTTCCTCCTTTACCGCGTCCTGTCATGTTGAAGCCGTTTGGTTATGAGAGACAACTTGCTTGGCCGACTGAACTGCGTCGAATGAAAACGTTGAGTGCAAACGACCCGTATTTATACACACGGAACAACAGCGTCGACCAATCGGTCCGTTTCTCCAATTGTCCCCGCTCCTACCGACAGTTGGATTTACCTCGACCAATAGAAATTAATTTTACATATCTAACAGTTATATATAAATCCGCTGTACCCCCCCCCCCCACGGTCTGGACTGCCAGTGTTAGTGTTTAACAGTGTGTATGTTGGTTTGAATGATGTTAAGTAATAAATAACGAAATTTAAAGCAATGATGGGGAATAATCGAAATATTCACTCCATTAAAATAATCAAAACATCGTACCTATTCGATTAGATTAAGATCATTGTCTAATATTTTGATTTTCATAATCGAGTAGATAAAAATCACACGATATATCGTGAAAATTCATAATATTTTAAATTCTGAGCAGTAAAACTCATTATTCATTAAATCTACAACATTCTTACCTTATAAATTAGTTGTATTTCCGTAAAACTTTAATTCTTTTTTACAGATTTGACAATTAACCTCACTTTTATCGGCATTTTTTTTTCAAATGCTCCCACACTACAGAACGTTTTTGATTGCCTGGTCGCATTTTAAAATTTAAAAATGTATTTTGAATTCTTTACGATACGGGGACGGTTTCAATAAATGAAACAAACGGTACTACAATAAAATGTACCTAAATAAGGGTCATTCAATTATTTATATAATAGTTAAATATTATATGGTATGTGTGTGATCAAAATTAGAATAGGAACAATAGCAAATAACTTACTATCTATTTGATTTATGATTCTAGAATCATCTAGAAATGATTAGAATGATCTACATGGCATCCGCGCATAATAGTGAACTATGGGTTATTTCATTTTGATTCATATTGCATATTATTATACTTTGCGCGAGATAAGAACGCCGTTGTGCAGGCATGCCGGTGTTTTGAATGTTTTGATACACCGTCCGCGATGAGAAAATAGTAATATAGGTAATATTAGTTATTAGTAGTCAATAAAATAGTAGAAAAAATAAGAATGATTACTGATACGGTTTCGAGTAATTACCAACTACTAGATTACTAAACTAGTAAATATAAAAATAATAACTGTTAATTGGCAATTACTAATTTTTCATTCGATTATTTTTCTAATAATCGAATTACTTCATACATTCAAATAATCGAGTTACTCGATTATTCCAATCACTAATATAAAGCAAATAGGAGAAAAGTCGGTCGGTACCCCACATTCGGCGGGCTATAAGTTTTCTGTTGTGTAATTGTTACTCCGTATGTTTTTGGGAGGACCCCTGTAGAATGATTGTGAAGATGTTGGCCTTGTCACTTTTTATTATTTTGAAATTGCACGAAGACAGTTACATACAACATACAACATGTTGTTGCATAAAATAATATGGCTCATGGATCTTATAAATTATTTTTATTTATAGTTATAGAACAATTCGACCAAATTTTTACATTTTTCCTTTTCACCTTATCCGTGTTCCCAATCCATAAAAAAAATTAATATAATAATACCTAAAAACCGAATTACAACACTCTTTTTACAATACAATCTCTTTCAAATTATACATCTCTATGGTTACAAGATGTTCAACCTTTTGTTTGGCGGATTTTTCTAGCACAGTTATTATTCAAATTTTTCAATTAGTTTTTCTTCGAGGGAGGCAATATTTTGTTGGACTATTTGAAAAAAAATTAAATTTGTATTTTCATCCCATAAAAAAGCTTAAAGGCTTAATCGGATAAAAAAACTACTATTGATTCTCATGAAATTAAATCGACTATCACACTTTTTAGACTATCCAAAACGTAAAACATAAATCTAGTTTTTTTCTTTTTTGAATTTCTAATATAATTTTGTATTTGTAAATGATTGGAATACCAATATTATAGTATTATATTTTGTAGTGTATACTATACAGTATTAGTATCTATATAACATGTTATATTATATTAAAACAAGTTATCTTAATTAGTTGAAGTTGCATTCTGTAGCTTTTAGACTCTAAAGGCGGCTACACTCTAAAGTTTAGAGTGTATTGATTTTTCATGTTCATCAAGGATGGGTTAGTCTCGAGGAACTGATTGTAATGAATATACGATATTACCCGAAACACACGATTGTTTACTTCAACTAACTTACTCTCATTTACCCGAACTGGTTTTTCAATTTACATCATGAAAACAACGAATGTCTGAAGAAAATATTCTAAAATTCTGGTGGCCCTGAAAAGGGCCGTTTTAGGAATAATAATAATAATAATAACAATAATAGTAATTAAGCACGTTCTCCACGTATACGACGGGCCAACTGAATGTCCTTTGGCATGATGGTAACACGTTTTGCGTGGATGGCACACAAGTTGGTGTCTTCGAAAAGTCCGACCAAGTACGCTTCGCTGGCTTCCTGCAACGCCATTACGGCGGAACTCTGGAAACGTAAATCGGTTTTGAAATCCTGGGCGATTTCACGGACTAACCGTTGGAAAGGCAGTTTGCGGATCAGCAGTTCGGTACTCTTCTGGTACCGACGGATTTCCCGAAGAGCGACAGTACCCGGACGGTAACGATGCGGTTTCTTCACTCCGCCGGTAGCTGGTGCGCTCTTACGGGCCGCCTTAGTGGCCAACTGTTTCCTCGGTGCTTTGCCGCCGGTCGATTTACGAGCTGTCTGCTTGGTACGTGCCATGATAGTAAACTATTATTAATTAATATACTGAATGTTGAACTGTCAGATGATTGAGACTATGTGTGGGAAACTCGCAGAAACGACTAGTATATATACAAAAGCGAGAACCGTTGGTAGCGCTCTCATTGGCTAGGGGCGTGTTTAGCATAACGGCGTAATATGATTGGTCTGTCGGTCGCCTGAAATGCTTAAAAACGGCTGACGATCCATGACCAGGTCCACACAGTAATCCGCTCTCAGTTGAATCAGTTATCAAGATTACCAACAATCACACAAAATGACAGGACGCGGTAAGGGAGGCAAAGGTCTTGGAAAAGGAGGAGCAAAACGGCATCGTAAAGTACTTCGTGATAACATCCAGGGAATTACCAAACCCGCCATTCGTCGTTTAGCCCGTCGAGGTGGTGTCAAACGTATTTCCGGCCTTATCTACGAAGAAACTCGAGGCGTGCTGAAAGTGTTTTTGGAAAACGTTATCCGTGATGCTGTAACCTACACTGAACACGCGAAAAGAAAAACTGTTACAGCCATGGACGTCGTGTACGCTTTGAAACGTCAAGGCCGTACTCTTTACGGTTTTGGCGGTTAATGATTTCCAATTAAATTTTGTTGTTGAGCTGCTATACCATCTTTCTGCGCATGTATAATAAAACGGCCCTTCTCAGGGCCACTAATTTAAAAATCATTAATCTTATTAAACTCTTCTAAAAATGTATAAATAAATATAACAACTATTTTGTTTGTTTATTTCCTACGGTACATATTTTTAATTTTTAAAAAAAAATAAAACTTCAATAACCATAAATATACCGCTACAAAACTAAAACTACCAACGTTATTTTTGACAAATTGCAGTGTCGTAGACAACATTTAAACGGCATCGTATATTTTATATTTTCATTAACAATACATACCTACAAGGTACCCACAACTTTAAAACTTCTTAATGCAGGCCTATGCAACTCCCTATCCTAGACTGTAGTAAAATGTGTGCTGTGATTGTCCCCAGCAGGCGGCACCCGTTTCACCGAAAATCAACCTTTTCCGTTTCGACCAAACCCATTTTGGTCGTTTTCAAATTAAATTGGCAATGATTTTTAAATAATATAACATGTAATAAATCGTGTATATAATATTAACTATTTAAAAAAAAAAACTCATTACACAATATTATATGTTATTATTTTTTACTAAAATTAACTAAAGTCATCGCAAAATACATATACAAAAATTATTATTTTTTAAAATGTCTACACATAGTTTTTACAAACTCATGACTAGTAATTTCGCCAAATCTGTATAAAAGTATACGTTTTTCGTTGTATTCTTGTCTTTCCTTCGTATTTTTGTCTTTTGTTTTTTTGGGAATTTCAACGCTATTCATGTTGATATATGTTTTTGTCTGGATTTCGTTGCTCATAATATTTAACCAACTTGTGATTGATGAAGAGTTAGAATAAAAGTTTTTATTGAAATACGAGTGAAACGATTCACACGCATTTTTTGTGAGCTGTATGCTCGCTGAATTGCATGTCCATAATGTTGGCCATCGTTAATTATTGATTTAAGCAAATATTTTAAATTAAACCTGTCCAAAACTCGAAACTCGATGACTAGCCACTGCTAACTAATACGTCATGTAGTTAACTGTTATATTTATGTGGAAAGTCCTACAATCGACCAACATGTCATTAATTTGATATTGAAATAAAAATATAATAACCTAGTACAATAAATATTGTATTGCCCCTCATTGTTATTTCTGGATAACGATAAATGAAACTCATATATTATTTTTAAAATAGTTTTTAGTAGACAATAATAATTGGTCATTTGTATTATAACTGTAATAATGTATAATTGAGTATGTATTTTTTTAAATCTTTTGGGATTACTTTTTACACCAACTAATGTGTTTTTTTAAAAGTAGTCAGTAATATATACATGATATATTATACATGTTATGATATTTAAAAATCATTGCCAACTTAATTTGAAAACGACTGAAATGGCTTTGGTCGAAACGGATATCTGAGCGAAACGGCAATGGTAAAATTTCGAGCGAAACAGGCCGCGCCCTTCCCATCCGTGGGTCCTACTCTAGCGACGCGCTCTAATTGCAATTTATGATTATATGTTTATCGCTTACAGATTATCATGGTTAATGCCGCGGTCTTTGCACTATTTACAGTAAATTTAAATGTCACCACTAAATAGCGCTACCAGAGCGGTACCCGTCAAAGGGACTCCCCTTGCCAGACGTATTAATCTAAGACCGTATTAAAAAGTAAGCACAATATTATTAGTATTCAGTATACACCACGTTAGCGGTTATAAATGACTTAGATTAACTTTTTTTCTGGCTATAGCCGAGTACTTAACTGAAAATGTAATTTACACAAGGTAACGCTAAGTACCCTTAAATTTTCAATAAAATGTAAAAGTTTCACTCAATAAAACTACAATAAAGTATAATATTCATTTTATATTCACGTCAAACCACCTATAGAAAATGCCCTCGAAAATTGACTTCCAGCAGAACTCCTAATTTGCCTGTAACATATACAAAGGCTGTCCGTTTGAAATCGAGTCCTCTAATCTATATACAGTGGCAGCGTAAAACAATATGATATTTTAGTCACGGCGTGATTAACAAAACAAATGAGTGGATGGGTCGCTGTTATGGTTGTTTAGAAATATAACGCAAATTACTTTGATTTTCCAAAATAGGTAAAATAGGTTTTACAATATCGATGGTGATGACACGGCAAAAAGGTCTAAGCGACACGCAATTTATAGTTTCCAGGAGAGTCGAAAAACATTTATTTGTGAGTTTAACATTTATTTTTTTTTAGGTTGGCAATAACTCTTTTTCGGTTGGAATAGGACATTTTTTCGTTGAATACTTTTTTTTTGTTTTTACGTATGAATACGCATTGTTGATTAGCTTTTATTGTCGTTTAAACCCTTTAATTGGGCGGGCAAAATATATAAGTATCGTTTACACCCCAAACATAAAATTCAAATAAATCGTTCGTTAAATAATTGTCACAGCTCTTTTTGCGCACGTGCAATGGACGAAACACGTATTTCTCTATCCAGTAGTAAGGCTGTGTGGCTCAGACTCAAAGTGTCGATCTTTTGCCATGTCACCATCGATATGCTAAATGATGCATAGTAATCCTTAAAGTACAATAAACAAATTAAAAGTATAGGTTTTACGTAAATGAAATGTATATTATGTACAGTATATAAGTGTATTATATATAGTTGAAAATAGTATTCTAGACTGCGGAAAATTTGGTAAGTTTCAATATAGGATCCCTAAAAAAACTAGCGGGTAACTTCTGGTTTACAGTTTACAGAAAAAGTGTGATAAGAGGATGCCACAGCTGTTGTCTTGAAATTGTATTTTTCAGCCAAGTTATCATAAAAAAACTTTATTAATTGACTAAAAATCCGCTGTTTTGAATCCAAATTTTGAATTCTTATTTTTGAATTAGTTACAAGAAAAGAAAATTGTACGATTTAATCACAAATCGTGAGTGTTATTTACCACATCCGTTCCCATTGAAAATATCTGTGCACGTCATTAATGACTAAATACCTGTATAGTTTCTTTTTGTAGCAAGCTTCTGATTCTTCAATAAAAACATTGTTAAAGTCTTATCGTGAATTGTAGAAAAAATCGTAATCAGTAAGCACCGGGATTATCTTGATTTTAAAATTGATTGGAACAATTTGTTCTTCGTAATTTGTCGAAATACATTATATTTGTTCACAACCCAAGTTATTCAAAAGCCTATTCCAAAAATTAATACGAGTAGATACTGTGTATATTTTCGTCAACGGCATCGTATTGTATATAACTAAATTTCTTCAATTTATAATAATTGGTTCACAAATTATCAATATTATTATTAAGACGAGCCTTTGAGGAATATCGGCGTTTGTGAACAATCGTAAAAATAATTAAATGGCTTTTTTTTTTTTTAACGAATAATAATATAGGCCGGGGGAAAGAACAAAGAAGAACACTCATGCTAAAAGCACTTAAAAAACATTCTATTTTCGTGTTTTGTGCACTCAGAGGTTTTATTGCTGCTATCTAGATTGGGCGTTGAACGCGGTCCAAAAAACCGATCAAGGCCCGAGGTGTTGGCCATTCTAAATATGTTCCAGAGGCATTTGGTGATAATTTTAGACAATATTTGTGAGCTTTCTCTCTCAGGACATTTCGACATTTTCGTTTAAATAAAAAAAAAGAATATATAATATCGCGAAAAGGGCAAATAATTTATATTAGTAGTTCACGTGTAGATAATAATAATATTAAAAATGGAATATATTAATAATAACTATTATTATTAAAATACAATTTTTCTGCGGTTTTCTTAAATTATAACCGAACGGTAAGTATGTTTAGTTAATAAAAATTAGCCAATTAATTTCGCTTATTAATATTTTATTTTCGTATGGAATTTTTTACTGTTTTTAACTAAGTATAAATTTCAATTTTTAATCCGTGTATAAATAATGTTATAATCCGCGTATCTGAACAATAATAATAATAGAAAAATAAATAAATATTTTTCATCGTACGTTTACAGAACATTGTAGGAACTAGCGTAATAATTATTATTTGTCGGCATGACAGCTGTGCAACGTGTGATCGTCGTAAGCTCAATAATATAATATGCGTATACAAAATTATAACATAATGCTGTAATATAGGTATTAACACTGTTTATATAAATAAAAAAAATATATATATATGTATATATGTATATAAATAAATGTTTTTTTTTTTTTTTTTTTAACAAAGAAAAAAAGAAAGAATATAATAATATAATGAAACAAACCGAAGGGAATTAAAACAACGTTTTTTTTTTCTCGAAAATTAATAAATTAAAATATTAAAATAAACATATTTTGAATGTGTTTACGCGTTCTAGAAACGGATCACTAAGGTGGTAGAACAGAAATATTAAATTATTCAATGGTGAGAGATTGGAATCAATTTGTCGGGTCCTCCAAGTGCCGGCAACGGTGCTTCTACGGTCAACACGCCATCTTTGCTCAGAGACGATTTGATGGCTTCCGGATTGGTGCCCTTCGGAAGTAAAAATTCCCGGTTGTATTCTCTGTACACCGATTTGGAGTCCGACTTTTCCTCGTGCTTGGCGTGGACCTGAACGAACAACAATATAATATCATTAATCATTCGACAGCAAAAGGCGGACGCGCGCCCCGCAGTGTTATTCCAATACAATAGAGGCGATTAGTGCGACGTCATAAAATATTATGTGAAAACGACCGTTATCGAGTAAGATATCGGTTCCGAACAAATAAAAATGTACATTTAAAATGTACGTTATGTAAAGTAACGTTAGAAATTCTTATATTCTACATTCTAAGGCTTTAAGGCTTTAATACTATAGTAACTTCCTAATCGGAAATTTGTATTTTATTGCTGAATTCTCATTCGAGTATTATTATTCCTTTTCAATAATAGAACGAAATTTCAGTTTGTAAGTACCGACCGATATTTCAATATTATACCTAATATGTGTTTTGATGGGACTCGTTTGGAACCGAATGATCCAATTATTCCCGATAACAGACTGACAAGAAGAACTTGACGTAGACACTAATCGCCTCTATAATATTATACCGTATTATCATTACGTACAGACTTCGGATACCGCAACAATAATAATTACGAACGATAATCAATCTCCTCGACTCGATAGTCGTTTAAAATAGTAGGTATACCAAGTGAAAATTATACATCGTTTTACACATAATGTACGTAATGTAACTGTTCGTATTTGAATGAGTTTCTTACAAATGCATAGAGAAACTATAGTAGGGAACCGTTTCGGTGCGATTTGGATACGAAATTAGGTACCTATGTCGCATTATATAGGTATCGTGTTTCATACATTAAACGACAAGTGTTGAAGGTGCGCGTATAGTTAAAACGTAGAACGTTTAAAAGATAAACGGTTTTTTAAGCAAAATATAGCCTATAGTGCGTATAACTAAAATATGTTTACTATTATAGGTGTACAGCTTTAACCGTATTAAATCTATTCCTTAAAATCTTGTCGAATATCTTTATTGGTTCAATGACTTTTCTTTAAAATCACCGGAGCGTGTACACAAATACATATTACTTATAACAATGGCTCGCTCGCAATAGAAAATTATGTTTACACGCATTTGTATTATCATTATTAAAATATGTATCGTTTGTATTGTAACCGTAGAACGTGTTGTCCGTAACATTATTTTTAACAATTTATATAAAACGATCGAATATATTTATCATAAGATATTTGGACATACGCAAGACGTACTATAGATTTCGCTATTCGGAAAGCGGACAGTTGTTGTTAATTTTGATCTTTCGCGACGACCCGCGGTCAAAAGTGCCGTCCGTGTGCTACCCAACTACACTATAACAGTGCGGGTAATAATAGCGTCCGACCGGAACAACATTTTCGCGTAATTCGCATTATCGTCCCGTAATCGAGTGTATATTTTCGAGAGAGAGAGAGAAAGAAAAAAAACATCATCGTTTTAATATTATCTACACGGGAGTTTGAACGTTCCCCCGTCGGTTCACCGACCCGTATCCACCCGGGAATATCTAAAATTAAAATATGAAAACGCATAAAAATAAACGATTTACCCCTTTAGAACGTACCGCCGGATAGTTACAATTATAGAATAATAACGCGTTCCGGCCCGCCTAAAAATAAATAATCTTTCAAACGTATACGAGCGGACACGAGCGAAATGTTAAAACTGAAACGACGCGTTCTGCCGGCCGTCCGCGACACATCCCTTAAATGGAATTCGTCTTAAAATATACCTAAGTGCATATATAACTTTAATATAATAATTCGCGTTGGGAGGTCACGCGGTGATAATAATAATAATAATATTATATTAAAGCGATCTAGTACTTGCATCTTGCACACGAAATCAATGGTACGAAGGCTCATAGCCATTTATGGAGTTTATCGAGTGCAGACAAGGTCGACTAAGGCGTGGGTCGTTTTCAAGTATGGTAGGTGTGTGTGCGTGTGTGTGTGTGTGTGTGTGTGTGTTAATGTGTTTTTTTCATTTTTTTTAAATCTAAATAAACGGCACTCCTCTGTGAGAGAAAAAACAGGTGGACTGAGCAGTGTGTGTGTGTGTGTGTATGTGTAAATAAGTATAACATAATAATATCATATTATATATATATATATTTAAAATTTTTAAAACTACCTATATATTAATACAAATCCAAATTCACCCGATTTAGCGTGACAAATTTGTTATTGAATTTTACAAGGTTTCGGCCGATTTACAGCGACGCATACCTAACGATTAAAAAAATGCGCTATATAAAATACTTTTTTTATTAAACTTTATAAAATAATATAAAAAATATCAAGGACTCCCATAATGTTAAACGTGCGAAGGTCTTACGCGGTCATCCGTGTCGAACTTGCGGCGATAATTATATTTCGATACGTCATGTGTTTATACGTAGGTGGGTATTACCTATATTATACTGCCTTACACCTAGGTGGGTACTAAACTGCAGCGCCTTTGTGTAAGTATATGATATTTTTCTATGTGAAAAAACGTATGTAAGATACGTATCTCATTCATTATAAAATTCGTTTCCGGTTTTTTTTTTTTTTTTTATTATTTATTATAATATTATTATTTTTATTCTGCCGCCGCCGCGTTATAATATTATGCACACAGCGCGCGCACACACACACACTTGCGTTTAATACGTTTTATTAATAGAAAATAACACGTAAGTGTATATGATAACACACATACGGTACGAAAAAAAACTAAATATGTAACATAATAATAATTGTAAGTGTGAGACCGGTTTCGAACGAAGAAACTATCGTTATTATTATGGTTATGGTATAGCTGGTACGTTATTCATATATTTTTATTTTTTTTTTTTTTTTTTTTTTATTATTCCTCTGCGATGAGGTACCTGCTACATAGCTAAGTAGGTATATTACAATAACGAGTTTCGAAACATTACTGTTGTTGTAGGTACCTATACGCGTATACAAATTTATTCAAACGTTTACCGTAAACGTTACAACACGTACCAATAGTTTGTTGTCGACGGTCTTGACGACGATTTCCTCGGGCTCGTATTGACTGACGTCGAACCGCAGTTTTAACATTTTGTTGTCGCCGTCCTCTTGGATCAGTGGCGAGTTAATGCTTTCCACCCAACCACCGGGCGCGCCGGCGCCGGACGATAATCGGCTTGGTGGTAGTTCGCTGTGGTTCGAGGTGATTGTGTTTTGAGAGCTGAAAATCGCAAATTAAAAATCATTAAAAAACAAAATAATAATAACCCGGTAAAAAAAAAAGCAAACAGCGTAATAGAACCGCTACAGTAGATCTATTACGAAACCGCATGCTTACGAGAAAAATAAACTGCAAGATGCTTTAAAGTGATTTAAACATAAGTAATATAATATTATACAACGTGCATAAAACAACATGTAGGTGTATTTGTACAAAAACATGAAAAACATAACCGTTACACCATGAATATTGTTAGTAAGTATACGTGTATCACTAAGACTTTTCGACCAATGAATCGAGTTTCTCGATTAGGTATTCTTATTTTATTCGTGATTTTTAATTATCCGTGGATAAGCGACTGTTTCTTTCCATATTTTATTGCACTTTGGTTCGAAGTTCTAAGATATGTAAACGTTTACTTATTTTCACAATCTATTTTCCGATTTTCGAACTTATCCTTTCTCGTTCGATCGTTAATAAATCGGGTGCACCGTAAAATGCGTTATCTATATGCGATCCTAGGGCAGTTTCTGGCCATTCACAAAATAACTACTGAGTAATTTTAAAAAACTACCGCTTTAAGCTGTTACAATTTCATATTTATAGATAACCTTAATAAATATCACGGAATACAGTTTCTACTCGAAAAAATGTGTAGGTGGAGTGCATGGAGTAAATGTGCAGTGTATGCCTACATAATATTATTTATTGTCACCCACCTAAATACCTACTACGGATACGATTTATACTCGGATTGATTTATTCATGTTCGCTGCGATAAGTGGGCGTCTCGACAGAAAATTATTTAGTTCCGAAATTAAAATCGAAAAGTTTTCGGTGTCATTGCGGTAGCTCGTGTATAACCTACATAAAACTAAAAAAAAAAAGAAGAAAAAAAGGTAACCTACTTAACTAGCAAAAAATCAATAGGTGCACTCCTCGATTCTAAAAAGTGCTGTATTTGTATATTATGTACACCTAGAACAGGTACGTCTCCCGTTTGGACGTACCATGTCCAACTATGGGATGGGACCAAAAAATCTATAATAAAAATAAAATTGAAATTTTCCGATCTATAACCCTTTTTTCGTATAATTGCAAACGCCCCGGTCAGATGTTTCGCACCGCATTCTTCGTACGGATTTAAAAATATAAATACTAGAGAAAAAAAACTGCCAAAATCTTGATACATGATACACGTTTCCGACTAATCACTAAAACCCACTTATATCCGCTCTCGGTTCTAACTCCATTCTTGGTAATCCTTCTCGCAGACCCGAAGAGAAAGTGACGTAGAGGCTTAAATCTTGATTAACCTACATTTAAATCGAATCCGACCGAATCGTGTGTCGTCATTGGATGGTTGTTTCTTTTTCAAGTGTGTCCAAGTCCTTATAGTGTACTTACATATAGGTACCCGTACAAATGCTTATTGTAATGACTGGCGCCCGTTACCACGTAACAAACCGAAAACTAAGAAACTCAACAGCTCAACTACATTCACTCCGAGAAGAAGTCCTTCGGCTATCAAAAACTTTAGCGTACAAACCAGTGAGTTACCTCGTCTGTCCTGACTCGCTTAGCAACCAAAGCTATACAAACTCGTAAACCAAAATAATCCCACTTTAGTCCTGGACTCTCGATCTAGGCCCCTGGCCGACCACCCGCAGAAAACCGCGAACACAATTTTAAATTATAATAGTCATTTAAAGATCGTAAACGTTTTAAAAAATAACGTTTAAAAAAATAAGAATCTAAAAAATAGGTAAATCAGAATTAAAAAAAAAAAACAATATTGATAATAAAACAAAAGGGATAACAAAATAATATAACAAAAGATAACAAAACGTTACCTTAAGTACAAAATCGTGTTTCACGTTAAAACAGACGCGTTTAATTGGATTTAATTACGTTTAACGTTGTTATACTTTTAGGTATCTTTAACCGTGTTTAAATTGATGATGGGCGACGCGGTTTACCGTCGTATCGGTAAATGGATTAGGGTGGCGACGGTCGGCCGACGAGTAAACACATTATAATAATAATTATTAAAGTGATTTCGGATCGTCGTAAATTTAAATCGGGATCGCGTAGGTATCGACCGAATTCCGAGTTCGAGAAAGTAATAAATCGTTATTGCACCGATTGTACCGATTGTTGTGCGGCATATAACAACAAACGGTATAATAATCGAACGGGACAGAACTATTTTTTTTCTTTCCATTGACAATTTATTTAATATACGCCCCGCCGGGGAAACCTTGGACTTTTGCGCCCGCGAAAATTACCCGCGATTTCGTTTCAATTCTAGAATAGAAATAAAAAAAGTAAAAAAAGAATCCTTTTAATACGACGGCAATTTCGTACGACCGTCAATCCGTATATACCTTGGTACCGTTTATGTGTTTAGACCCCCGCGATTAATAGTTTCGGTATACTGTAAATAATAGGTATGCGCGAGTGGGTCGAACGAAAACGTGCACTTCCTTTGTCATCGTTCGTGTATGCTGCAGTGTCAATTTAAATGCGCCCACTGAAAATATTTTGTTATTTTTCAATTTGGTGTACGGCTATTACGCTACAAGGTTAAATATTTGTGTGTATTTTTTTTTTTCTGTTCGTCTTCTAATTAAATTAACGAATCAATTTTTTAAAAATAATAATAATGGATTTACATAATAAAAACAAATATACTATAACGACGAATGTGACCTCTCTAAAGTGATAAAACCTAAGTAATAAAATGTAGACAGTGTCGTAAATAACCCGGTCTGTTTTAATTTGTAAAAAGCGCGGCTATATAGGACACCTTACGTACAATCTAACGGAAAAGCAAACGCCTTCGAACGTAAAATAGTTATTTAAAAACGGAAAAACGTGTAAATTACCCTGAGGTTGATGGGTAAACAAAAATTATTTTGTTGTTTCGTACAGAGCCGTAAATTCTATAATATAATGTAACGTATTTTACTATAGTAAAGTTCTTGTCTCTATAATCGTTAAGATTTTAATAAAAAAAAATATAATATTATATTTATCGGAATTTAATACACGTAAAAACAATTATCATTTTCGTGTCTATCGAAAATAGTAGAGTAGATATTGGTACTAGAATATAAATTTATAAATGCAATTCAAGTGGAATTTTTTTAATGAAATACAAGGAGTTCGCGAATTGTTTAAATTAAACTTGGAACAATCATGAATTATTGCAGATAGCGAAAACGTCACATTTGCACGTATAGCTAATAAATTATACCGTTAAAACACGAAAATATGAAACTTTACGATATTATTCCGCGGTTTATACCGGGTGTATTAAATTAATTAATGAAACGTACACGTAATAGTAATTAAAGTACCGACGTTCAACTATTTTTTTTTTTTTTGTTTTATTTTAAGTCCGACGGAATACAGAGTTGTTATTATTACATATTTTATAGTTGTACAATTATTATTATCTGTTCAAGTGTTCGCTATTTACATTTTGTTTTAGTATTCCGTTGTTTGTTATACGGTAAATATGATTACGCTCTACATTTCATTTAGCTCTCTCATTTAGCAATATTTAATAAATAAATAGAGAGAGAGAGAGAATACTTTCGAGAGGTAGGAAACTTTTTTTTTTAAATTTACCAATACTCAATCCGCAATAAAATATGAAAAGCTGAAATTATCTAAATCCACTTGAAAAAAAAAACGCCATTTTAACGCAACAATAATATTGTTTTTACATCGGAATTCAAATTAATCTGGGCCCAGAAAACAAAGCAGACATTCTGTTCGTTGTAATTTACTTTTTCAAATAGGTAATGTTAACAATATAGGTAATGTATTCGCGCAGAGTACATAATTATACGACTTTATATTCGGGTCATGGTTTCGAAAAACTTTAAATATCACGAAAAGGTATTTCAAAGGACTTTAAATTAACCTCAAAACAATAATGCATAAACATTGGTCATACCTATACAATAGACTTATCCGCCTGTTCTTAATAACAAAATACTTGACATTTTCAGAAACAATAACAATTATGTAGGTGTGCTACGAGAATATAAAATTTTATTTGTAAAAGGCGAACTAAAAGAAAAAAAAACAAAACATTTACTGCGCCATAACGAATATAGCTGTAAAGCCGGTAAAGAAATACCGAGTCTCCTGCGGGAGCATTGTGTAATATTTTTTATTATAATATAAATATTAAAAAAATTTTAAAAATGCACATATCATATGTGTTTATTTGATGTTATCACGCGAAATCGAAAAATGTTTAAAAGGTCGCGGGACAATAGTTATTATGCATATTATTTTTTATAGCTACCTAGTCATAGTACGCATAAATATTTCGGACCGAGTATCGCGGTAATGAAACGTATTTTTCTCTAACGGGGTTTTGTACGTAGAAAAAAAAAACGAACCTTCGGTGCGCGATGTATGCAAAACGAATCGGACGTATTTTGCATTTTTTTTTTTTTCGTCGTGACATCGCGACTAGCGTCTCGCCTTTCGCGGACGTCGACGTTCAAACTCGTCGGAAAACGCGGTCGCCCCGAACCGGACGGCACCAGATACCAATATGTACCGCGGTATCCGCGCTAATAGGTCCACGCACGAGTCCGGCCGTTTAACGTTTCGAAACCGCGGGTAATCTTCGATTCGAACCGCCGCCGTTGTGTAGGCAGACAGGCAGATAGGCAGGTAGGCAGGTAGGCGGGTAGGTATGTGTAGGCGCACTTTTGCAAAACGTTTCTATTGCCATTGGGAAATATTACGGGCTCGCGCGTGTAATGCGACCGGCGCAGAGTACAGTGTGTCCGTTACCAAACAAGGGGAGTAAACAGCGTACGGCGGCGGCCGGAATATCAGCTGCCTCTCCGCAATAATAATTATTTCTGATTGTGTTTTATGGCGCAATAATATAATACGAGAATAATGTTATTCCCATCACGACCTCCCATTGTTGTTACGACGTAAAACCGTGCAGAACGGGCAGATGAGCGCAATCAACGTCCGCGATGATTCACGATTTTTTTTTGTTTTTTTTGTTTATACCATTACGGCTGTCCGCGCTCTATCCGCCGTTCCGAAGACCGCGGCGTTTATAATACCCGGGCGGCAATAGTTCCGCGTCTGTAATCTGTTAAATCGGACGGCCGGTGCTTTTCGTTTTGTTTAGAATCACTCAAAACCGGCGAATTGTCCGGAATCATCCGAGTAGACGTCCGAGTCGTGTACTGTCGGCCGTTTCGACCGCGCGTCAAATTACACGCGTAAAAAATACGCTATGCAGGCACTAACCGCAGCAGTATTGCGTACAACGAGCCCGATTTAAAAATCGTAAGAGGTCCGGGATTGTAAAGAGCCGATAAAAAAAAAAAAAAAAAAGGCGTTCTAATCCGGTACTGCGCAAGCAACACTATATCCATTATCTTAAATCCGGTATGCGGGCCAAATGCCCGTAAATGGTAAATTGCGTAAACAGGACATTGGATATAATAATATCAGCGTTGTAAAGTAGATAGGTACAACGCTTAAATCGAAATCATTGAAACGCGACGATTGCGATCCGTTCATATCGTGATGATGCTAATCTGTACCGAATGGCTTCGTGTTTTTAATTCGCATTGACGTTTATAGCACGGCCGAAATCTACTCCGAGATTATAAACTATCGCGTCCGCTATCGAGTATTAATAAATAGAGTATTGCGTTAACGAAACGAAATTCGATAGCGAATGTGCTGGTTGTTATTTGATTTTGAAAAAGTTCTTTATTACGACCCATCGGAATAATGTTATAAAAGTGCGTATAGGTATAAAATATTGATTAAAAAAAAAAAAAAAAAAAAAGTGCGTCTAAACTATAAAATACTTGCCGTATGCAAATTTCGTACAGCTAAACGTGTGTGTATTATATAGATTAAGCCCTGAATCCTTTATTATACAGGTGCTTTATAAGATAAATATAAAATAATATGCAAAATTGGCATGCCAATTTCATTAATTATTATTTATTCGTGTTGTACTTACAAGGACTTTTCTTCCACGTGTGATGTCCTTTTTTTTAAAAAAACAAAAATATTGTACGACAGAAAAAAAAAAACAATAATTCATTAGATAATTATTAATAGTATATTATTATGATGTTATAATTAATACGTATCAAAGTCATTAATATATTATAGTTAATAATTATACCTATTACGATTGAATGTAACGAAAGTATAATTATGTATTACAATATAATCTTATTATATAGGAACCTGAACGTATCGCTTAAAAATGAATATTATTGTAGTTAATAGGTAGATTGGTACTCACTTGGACGTGGTTTTAAAAAAGTTCGACTCTCTGTTCATGAGTTCGGAACGGAACTTGGTCATCTCGTCTTCCATCTTTCGCATCTCAGCGTCGAAACGTTCGCGGATGTTGCAGAATTCGGAGTCGATCACGCTGAATTCGCCCAATTTGATAGGGATGTCTCGCTTGACGCCACTGTTATGTGCCATTTATGTAAAAAAAATAGTCTACGCGTACGAAACTTCAAATTCTTATAGATTTGCGATAGGTTATTATATAGGTCTTGGGTGTACGGGGTAACAATAACAGAGACTTTTTAAATACTAACGAACGTAGGTGTAAAAAGAATAAACACGGTGCACGATCGGGATACGAATGAACACTGACGCCAGCAAACGCCGCACTTGGTCTATATGAGTGAAAAATCGAACACCCACCATTTTGACGCGGATGCTGGTCGCGTGCGCACGCGTACAGTGTAGGCGACGAGAATATACTTACTTCGACGTCTTACTCTCTCTTTTTTTTTTCTCTCTCTTTATCGTTTCAATATCACATACGCGATGTATTTACGAAACTGCTGGCAATAATAATATACCTACGTTGTGCGTGTGGGTGGGCCGCCGCGAAATATTCTAGAAATTTCCCAAACGATATTATTAACACAGGTTTTTTGTTTTTTTTTTTTTTCGTTTGTATCTACATTTTCGTTCGATAACAATATTATTATGATGATAATACTACAATATTGTGATACCCGCCACGGCTGTACAGTGAATACGTGTGCCGCGAGGTTGCTATGACGTCCATAAATTCATAATATATTGTCAGTCGGGTTTCTAACCACAACAAGTCGATTTCTGACCGAAAAAATACAAGACGACGTATATAGTATACCGGATCACCGTCGTCTTGATTCGCTCAATTCGACCAAAGACCACTAAAGTTAGGCCACATTTAATCGTAAATTAAATTAGATTTCGGACGGTTTAAACGAATTAAACTGTTATCGATATAAAATACCTAATCAAAATCCGACAGTTAGATTTCGTTCATTTTGACTATTCAATTTTTCTATATATATCTTCTATATTCTATAAATATCTATGTATTTCTTTAATATCCGTAAGTAGTCCCGGTATTCAAGAACTCGGGAGAAGACATTTTTTATTTCATTAAATGTTTTGTTTAAGACCCCTTCATAATATTATTAGGTACTTATTAGATCAGAGCACAAAACCCGGATTGTAAAAAAAACAATACAAACCGTTTAACCCGAATTAGAGTTATCAATCCGGATTATATCATAAAAAAATTATTTAAACCAATTAACAAAGTTTCTGTTTCACTGTTCCAAGTTGTCACATTTGACGATATCTACTATTTAGTTTTTACTTTTTAGTATCTAGCACGTTTCAGGCAAATTAATTAAGAAACAGTCCTTAATAAAGTCCACCAATCCGAATAAAACGGATTGATCAAAATATTGCTCAGCACTAGTTATATAATTGATATAGGTAATTACTAGTATTATGAAATGTAAAATAATAATATATCAGAATTCACTTGGTGGTTTGCTCTGGTTATAGCATTGTTTTCTAATTACATTAATTATATTAGAGTCAAGCATTTCGGATTACGAACATCTGAAAATTACCTACTTACTTGACAAAATGTATTTTTATAAAAAAAAAAAAACAGTATCATAAATTTAAATCTCGTTGGTTTTTTTTTTATTTTTAGAAAACCATTATCTTACAAAACTCGTACTGAAACGTTTTAATGTTATAATATCGTTAGTCAAAAATGTTTTCATGATATGCAACCACATCCGAGAATATACATTATGTTTTATGACGCACCATATAATACGTACCTATCTACCACTTAAGAGGCGCCGTCACAGTAGAATTTACTAACTCTTGTCTTTCTAACGGACAATATAGCAAAAATATGTACACGGTGCAATCGTAAAACCAATTAAAAGGCTCTTAAAATTCAGGTTTGGAAACAAAGCGTAATATATTATACAGTTTGTAGATGTCTGTTACTATCAAGACAATCTCACCGTTGTGTTTCGAATTATTAATTAGGTATTTAAAACGTGTACTTCTTAAAAATATATGTTTAAGTAAAACACGATATTATATGATATTTAGAGAATATTGTAAAAGGTTGTCTTCAAAATGCGATCGTCAACAAAATTATTGTACAATAAATGTTTCATCTTTAAAACCAGTTTCAAAGGCCTTTTGATTCGTTTTAAGCGAACACATTATTGCTATTAATAATATACCCGTTAAAAATATAGAGATGGCTAATGCCACCGTGCCGGCCTCTTGTATATTATGTACAAATAGTATTTTACACTATAAATAGATGCAATAGTGTAGTAATGTTGTACTCAAAATGATTGGACGTATTGTAGACATAAATATAGAACAAAATTTAACCATCGTAATATTATTGTTGATCGTTGTTAATTTTACAATTTTGTGTAAATTTATATTACAACAGTATATAATTTTGTTCCATATTTTTTTTATTGATAAACAATAAGTATGTTCTAAAATAATCTATATTCGTATGAGGAAATGATAAATCAGTTGCTGACAAAAAACGCATGTAAATTCACTTAGAGTACATTTAATTTAGTTAGGTAAAAATTACGGATCATTATTGTATTACATCAACTGCGTTGAAATTAAATTAGTGTCTTTCTCGTTTAACATATCCATATAAATATTGATGTTTTTCTAAATCTATTTTGTGACTAACGTTATTTTAATCTATATTTACCTAATTTCATCACACGCGATATTACGAACAATTTTAATTATTAATGACCATCATTTCTATACTAGGAAAACAAATTATTCATAATAATGTGTACATTTCTTTTATTTTAAATGCTAGCTGTTATAGCTATGCGTAGCCAAGAGAAAACAATTCAATGTAATTTGACGATATTTGACACGGGTGCATTTAATCAACAAAAAAAAAAAAAATTATTATTATACTATAGTATACGATAAATAATAATTATATTATATTCCTGATTTATAATTTTTAGCGGATAAATCAACTAAATATAATTACCAATCGGTATAGGTAAATAAACAATTATTCTTTTATATACAAAGTGTTCCACAAAGATATACCCATTTTATATTATATTATATAATATTGTATTTAAAATGGATTCGCGAGACATTCTGTACACAACTGAAAGTCTGTCTGCGTGACTGTCTTATCAGTCCACTGTACAAATCTACAGTTTTATCGATGAATCCAAAAACTGCACACTTGCGATAAAAAACAGGACAAAAGCGCACACTTTTTTTAATTTTTATTTCCAAAAATCGCACATTTCATAATAATGTATAATCTATTATTTATTAGGTAATAATTAATCTAAAAATATATAAAATATTATAATTGTATCTTAATTAGTAATGTTGAATATTAATATAAATATAATCAATATAAAATCAAATAAAAAAAATGATCAAAATTTGAAGCAAAAAGCCGACGTTTTTTAAGGAACTAAATATTTAAAAAAAAAAAAATGTTTATATAATTGTTGGTAGGAATCGATAGCCGATGGTTTTCAAAAATTTTAAACGATCTCCGTCCTTCGAAAATACTTCCTGATATTTAAACAAGTGTTCCTAAAATTAAACACAATACAATAAATTACTAATATTAAAATGTGCCCGTTAACTAACTTGTTTTTGTTTTTCAATCGGACGGACAGTATGTTCACAGTTTTACCCAACTATAAGTGTGCGGTATTTTGCTATACAATGTACCTACCTGTCAACCGATGAAATGTGCGGTTGTCGTTTACCAACCTTTTTGGAATGAAAACTCAACATGTGTGCGGTTTTTGGATGCAACTAGCTTTATTACGATCTTGTTGACATGTATTTTGCACGCTTGACATTCTCTACCTAATACTTTATAACTCGAAATGTACCCCCTTGATGGGTTAACATTTGATTTTTGATACTTTAAAATGAAAAGAAAAGACAGACATACTTCACACAACGGGGGGGCTACTGTTGAAGGTGAAAAACTCACAAAATTAAAATGTCTATGAATAACTCGAAAATGACTAAAATGTTTTGAACATTTTACCACGTTTAGGAAAAGCGAATATAAGTTTATATTACTCTCACGTAGAAAGTATTTGGAAAACGTAATGACTTTTTCAAAAATTACTAGTTACTTATTATACCTGGCTAATATGTGTACAAATATTTGTTGGGAAACAAAATATTATGTTATCATCGAGACGTTTTTATTTCCCTTTCATTCTGACCGCTGAAAACGCTATCGGATACAACAGTGTATAATATATAGGTACTGTATACTGTATTCGAAATACGATATTTCGGGTAAAACTATTAATTTACCCCTTGCGCTTTGGCCGGCGCGACGGACTTAAAATCGATATTTTGAATATTATACAGGGGCGATACGTTAACGAGTATCATACTATAGCGTGCGTACACAATCCGTCGGTATATAAAACGCTCGAAAATATTTTGACCGGCAAATTTAATAATACGACGATCGTGGGTCGTACGACGCGGCTGACGATAAAACAAAAATTTGAAAAACTCGTATCCATAAAAGTGTACACACGATAATAACAATGAAAAATAATGCGTGCGGGGTGAGTCACCGACGGCGACGACGTGACGACAGCGGCCAATGTAGCGAGGGAGTCTGAAATAATTAAATATTTTATCGTCGCCCGAGCCGTCGTCGTCGGAATTCCTGTGTCGGTTTTTGATGAACCGATTTTCCATCGTTATAACATTACACGCGGACGATTTACGAATTTACGCGCGTCGTCGCCGTCGTACCGACCGCATTATTATTATCATGCGCCGGCCGTCCGTTTTCCGTTATGTCCGTTTATGGAAATAAAATAACATTTCGATTGCCAATGTAAACGTTACTAACAACCGCAGTATTATTAGCGGTCGTCGGGGCGGCGACCGGGCCGGGGACTCGCCGACGAAACGGAACGACCACGCGCGCAGGACGAAAACGCAATAGACGAACGCGCGACGTACGGGCGTCGTCGTCGTCGGTGACTCACGCGCTACGGATACGGTCCGTCGCTGTAGTTCGCCAACACTCCCGTGACGTCACGACAAGAAGTTTAGCAACCGCGTAATGTAAGGCACTCGAATGTAATATTATAATATCATAGCGCTACGCAATATTTGTATCTACCGTGGGTATACGCGATTATTCGATTTGTAAATATACAGCGATCGCAAATTCGTCGAGAGTAACCGATGACCGTTTCCCCTCAAAATTGGAAAAATCGGTCGCAAAATTTTGTCTACCGTACAAAACGAGTCTCTTATTATTATTTTACAACAATAATAGGGGGAAAGTCATCTATAAATGATGTAAGTTAAACGAACATCTTCACCGTTGTCATCGCCTC